ATAAATTTCAAAAAGAGATCAATATTCCACAAAATGCACCTACACCCCCCTCCCCCATTTTCATCTGATTAGGGCAGGTGTCCAACACATCTCAAAGTTACTCTAAGCACCGGAGAGCTGGCAGTCAAGAAAGTCCTTGCCTTCAAGAAGTTTCCATTCTAGTGGGTGAGATAGGCTATACATCTATAAATAACAAAATACGCCATTTGGAAAACAGTGAGCTATCCCATACCTACTTGAAGTTCAAAATAAAAAGACAGTATCTATGAGTTCTGAGACAGTCATGATGTAACCTGTCTTCCAAAATGAGCTAGCATGATTTAAGTCTATCAAAAGCCAGAGCTGAGTATCTTGTTTCCTGAATCCAGGATGATTCCCTTAGGAAAGCTCCTACCTTGAGCCATGCGGACATCACTTGGTATACTCATTAGTATAACTATGTTTGAGGGGCAAGTCCATCTTCCTTTAGCTTTTGTTTGTGGATCATGATCATAATTTATGCCCTTTATAAAATGCTATTCCCTGACCCGCATAGACTAGAGGTATTGTTTAAAACAGCATGCTTTCAAAAAAGATGCTGAGCATCCAGGGGCTACATTAGAATAAACAGAGGGATATTGCATTCCATGCCACACATCCCACCCACGGGGCCAGGAGGTGCCTCACATATACATTCCTAACTCTTTGATAGATTCTGTACAGAATAGAGACTCACAATTAAATGAATAGCCAAGTTAAAACTTTCCCTCGTGGAACAAAGCAGAAGGAAAGCCTCTTTATGTTGCAGGGAGCGCTGATGCCATAGGCTGAGCCCGTCCCAAAGCTTCCCTCCCTGCTCAGAAACTAAGCCATCTTGCTGCATTTAGCACTTCTCCCCAGACCACCCACCCAGAAGAGGATACACAAACCACATGTGTGAGGAATGCTGTTCGCCTAGGCAATCCGTATCAGTATTTCAACCTCATTACTTGCTTATTCGGCCCTTTTAGTAAGAAGCATTTGTTTTATCTTTTCAATCGCTTTGATTATTTTCTTTTAGTGGCCTGGAATGATCCTTTTCTACCTTTTGAAACTTCAGAACTCTGTGGTGGAGGGCTGAACGTTGTAGACACAATAATTGCAAGGGAGGAATGAGCAAAGAGCTTTGCCTTCACTCCAACCTATCTGCCTACTCATAGCCACCTATCCTGTGGAGACTGCCCAGGATCCCTTTAATCACCCCATGCTTATAAAAACAGACTTGAAGAGCCTTCACATTCAGAGAATAGATAATTTCTCTGGCATTTAATCGCCACAGGGTCCACTTAGAACTACAAGAGTAATTTGGGTTTGGGCCATGCATTTCCCTCACTAGCTCTTGGTTCCCTCACTAGCGCATTGGTTACCCATCTTTAATTAAGAGGAAATTAATTCCAAGAACTCCAATGAGAGGCAAGAGTTAAACTTACATATCCTTGGAAGAGACTGGAAATGCCTCTCAAGGGGCCTGCATAAACAGGACGGTATGGATACTCTTACCTGGGAAAGAAAGCAAAGGCACTGAAATGTGCTGCGTATATTGTTTGGGTGGTATCCTGGCCAAGAAAAAAGTCCTTATCTGCTTCATGAATCAAAAAAAAAAAATAAGAGCACTTGCTTTGGAGAATCTGTTCTTAAAATAGCAGCCAGGGATTGATCTTCTACCCCTCTCTAGACCTCATTGCATACCCAAGTAGGTAACTGCTCTGAGATGCACTGGAAAACTTAGGCTCAGTGTACTTCCACATGCTTTGGAACAACATCCGGATTGATCATTGGTAGGCCTTGATGATGATCTTGACTTTCTCCAGACTGGTGAAGAAACAAGGCCATTAAAAAAAAAAAGCATATCTATGCAGAAACAATGGAAATGGTTGGTCCAATTCAAGTATGGTCATTAGAAAGCTCTCCTGACACTCCAATTCATCTGGAACTGATGCTACCACACCTATAGTCGGTTTCTAATTGCTAAGAGCCAGCCCAGGATAATCCCCTAGATTTCTATCTTGCTTGTTAGCTTGAATGAAGATGTTGTTCAAATTTGATGCATAGGTATGTGTTTTCTATTGAGTATCACATGTAACTCCTTGGTTATTTGATAAACTGAATATATTTTATTTTTTGTTTTAGTTATTCATCGCCTTTCTTTCTAACCAAAGTAGCATTATTGGTTTTAAGTAAATTCTGGGCCTTTGCAAAATCAATTCTGTCTAGTTATAGATAGCATATTATTTCACTTATGGCCAAAATCTTCCAAAGGAACAGGGGGAAAAGAAAATATACCATACACAAATAACTCAGTTTATTCCAAGAATGTGCCCCATCCTTTCTTACTCAGTCTCTACAGAGCTGAAAAATATATTAGGCTTAGAGGACAATAGAAAATAGTCCTACACATGGCCCCGCAAAAATGAGTGAGGCCTGGCTTTTACCCTCAGCTGGTTTGGGGTAACTTTATGTCCCAAATCACTTCATTTATTCTTCTTTAGGAAAAGCATGACTAGTGAGAAAAGGCTGAGGGCTATTTGTCCTGTATGCAAAGTAAAGCCAAACTGGTCAAACAAATCCATAAAACTATACATTGTAAAAATGATGGCGCCACAATAGATTAGGTATGATTTAAGAAAAAACACCTATTTCTGTCAATCTGTACTTACATTTCAACATGAGTTTTAAAGATGGGAAATACATCTTACGTGTGCCTTATAGTTCACATAAAAGCATGTATACACATACACAGTGTTTCTTTCAACGTAACTACACATACACACTCCATTAAAAAGATACTGACAGATTTATAAAACATGTTGGCCTTGTACTGTTAATCTCCAGGATACATTTTCACTTAATTTATTTTTGCACTGCACGGTAGCTCTGGCCACCATTAATTTAAGGATCTGTCAGTATTTCCATCATAACTCTATTTTCAGAATACTGGAGTACAAGTGCCAAAATACATATTTACAGTTTACAGACAGGGGTGGCTTTGTCTTCCTTTTCAACTGACTTCTTCAATTCACTTCACAAGGGATATTCAGAGATGGCAGTGCCTACATACTTTTTTTTAAAAGCATCATATAAAACAGAAGAGGTCAAAAATGTAGACTTCCACCTCAAGACTAACCTACACCACTGGAATTGACTCCTTTATATTCACTGCAGCTGTAGTAGTCTCTACATCATATCTTAGTTTTAGAGTAACAGTTCAAAGCAAGATTACTCTGATAATATATACGTATATATAATATATATAAATATAGGAGCAGTACACAGCATTATTACACAAAACACTAAAGGTGGAAAGTAATAAGCATGTAGCAAATTACTCTAGAGCGGATCACTTCCACAGTGAAAAAATAAACACAAATCACCAAACACACATTGACCATTTCCCACACTGAACATCCAACTCCATTAAGTAGGTAGAGTTAAAACATTTAAAAGCAGTCTCTCCTCAACAGTTTATTAACTACATTTGTGAGGCTTGAAATGGTAAAATAGGATGCTATGCAGGACTAAACTGTGTTTTGTGCATGTGTGTGTGTGTGTGTGTGTGTGTATGTCTTAAAGATTAATCTGTAAACAGCATTAGAAAACATTGGGTGGAAGAAATTTTTCAGTGGAAACAAACCAATTTTATTAGTTCTTTCCACAAACAGGTAATATTTCAGATGAGAGAGATTTGTTTAGCAATTTAAAAATATTTAGGGCACTCTCGAGTGGTTTGTTTTTCTTCCTAAAACTCTTGTCTCCTGATGTGTAGTTTTTAATGTTCTTCTTGACTTTGACACAATATGAAGGCATACAGAGGCAGAGCTATTTGTCTACTTGAATAGAGGGGTAGAATGTGGAGAAGGTATGAAATAACTGCATACATTTTTAGTTGCTAACACGACTGGTGTATCCTAAGATAGAAAGACCCCCCCCCACCACATACACACACATCTTGCTACAAAATCAGAAACAAAAGCTAATTTGCAAGGGGAAAGGTTCTATACATACATTTCTCCCCTCATGTCACAAGGGAAAATTTATAGACAGTTTATCATTCTCTGGTTGGTTCAAACCATATACACATCCACTCAATTATTTTTTGAAAATTCTATTTATATACATATATACTAAAGAAATAAAACCCTGCCATTCCCCTTTGTGCTTAAAAAAAAACAACAACAAACCCAAAGCCACTATTAGGGTACACTTGTGTCAAAATGTCTTCATAGGTCTCAAAGGTGAGTGTACACCAATGTAGAAGAACTGTGTGGGTCACTTAAGGGACAAATTTTAACTCTTTGAAATTAATTGGGAGATGTTTTTACTGCCATATTTAAAAATTACATCATAGAGTAAGAGAACCATGTCCCAAAAAATCAACAACAGAATGTTGTGGGAACTCCTTTTGCTGTCTGTATGAACTCTAGATTGGGAAGCTTTTCTGTACTATTATCTATTTCCCCAATTATATTGTATGAAGAAACCTGCATTTGGAATTTTCAGGACTAATTTGTGTCTCTATAATAGCTGCCATTCTTCTTACGTTCTTCCCCCTTTTTAGTCATTTATGAACATAAATTTTTTACACTGCCAAATCACAGATTTTCACCACATGATTTAGTTATACAATACAAATATCCCAAACTACATATGTTCATTTGTAGTTAAGTTACATATGTATGAGTTAAACCGCATTCATGTCTGGTTTAATGAGAATATGTGGGTTCATTCACATTAGAAGTTTTCAAGGATTTTTGAAATTTGAAAACATTTCCATATAAACATCCCCCTCCCCTTTCACCTGTAAAGTTATAAACAAAACACAACTAAAACCACACAATGCATCAGTCACGTACTGTCCAACATGACTGGAAAGTAGCTCTGTAATTGCACACCAAGAAGTGGACTACACAACAAATGCTTCAAGTATGGTTCATGCCAATCATTATGAGGAATCTTAACATTCTTGGAAAAAAGTCCATGTCTTCTGGGAGGACACTTTAGAGAAGTGATTTACAAGAAGCATGGCTGTATTGTATTTTAAAGGAAAAAAATAGTTTCTTTGGATAGAAAGAAACAGTGTAAAAAAATCCCCTTTTAAAAATGCAGGAGTCACTCCATTATCACTGCATTTACATTACTGCCTGAAAGAATGGGTCTGGAGAGACCATTTTCTGAATAGACACTAGGTTAATCTCTGAATGAAAGAACGGCATTGGCATGGGAACAAACAAGGTGGGAGGGGGGGTAATTGGTCTGTTAGCACACGTAGAGACTTTCTTAAGGCTGATCCAGTGACGAACCTTTGGATCCAGAAGTATTTCTTCATTTCTTATCTTTTCAGCTGAGCAACTTGAACGGTGAATTGTTCTTATTTTTCATTCCTATGCTTACAGAGATTATATAATAATGACACCAAAAGGACCTTGTTTTCTTTTAAAAATAATTCACTTTCTTTTGCATGCCACAGGACAGATTTCTAGTTTCAAAACAAGGGTACAACAAGAACCAACATCTCCCCCCTCCCCAACCATCTGTACTTTCGCCCATAAAGGAAATCCTTCTGAAAACATCGGCAAGTGACAAACAGGTAACGAAGCACTGAATCTACAATTTAATACATAGTCTGTTATGGCAGAATAACCAAGAATTTCCCCCAAAGAAAGATCTTAACTTCCAAATATAAAGTCTAAAAGACCTGCATGTGAACAAACTAGTCTGTGATCCTTGGTTTTATGGAAAAAACGAGTACCACACTGACAGCTGAAAAGAGCTGAGACTCTCACTAATAGAAATCCAAATTAAGCATTTCTACAGTTAATTTAGAAAACAGGATCAAAGTTTTTTTTTTAAAAAAATGTGATGATCCTGTGGAATGCCTTTACTTCCATGTTCAACTTATCTTGTAACAGTAAAACAGACACAAGAATGTTGATGTCAGCTCAATAGGGCTAGATTCAGGACATTGCAGATGCGCATTTGTTAGAAGTCCTACTGGTTTATTGACTAAGGCTAGATATTAATTCATATGATCCTATCTGGTGAATTCTCTACCATGGTCCAAGATCATAACATGGGCCCCAACCTTGAGGAAAAAAGATCCCAAGGAAGAAAATCAAGGTGGCTATTTGGTCACCACCCCATCCCCTCCCCCAGTTGGTAATTTGTGTCTTGGAACTGGAAAAACGAAGGTGGAAAATACAGACTGCAACAAGTTAAAGGACTTGGAAAAAGTTGGTGGAAAGTGGCACGATATACAAGTAAGGTCACTGGGCTTGGAAGGGTGCTGCACTGAAAGAGCATCCGTGGGACCAAGTACTTTTAATGTCTGGTGGTTCATTCCCTCAACAACTTCAGAATATCTGTATGCAATAATAAATAGATCAGTTATGTAATAAGGCAGTGTGTTGAATATGCATTCATCCTGTGGAATGAACCACCACAGAGAGAGAGAGAAAGAGAGAGAAATACATGATACCATACACATTCTTTAAGTTTCTTGTGTTGTGTTTGCTTTGTTTTGTTTTCAAGGCTATCCAGGCTAACTCTTCCCGGGGATTTCCTTGGAGAGAAGAGTGGTCCGCTGAGGCTGGTTTGCGTAACCTCTCCTTTATCAAGAGATGATGACTGGCTTTAAAGAAAAATAAAGCTGAAGGTTGTTTGATTTTTATTTTTTTCCCTTTTGGTTGCATCATTCTGAGTGTTTTCATATAAACAACAACAAAAAAAAATCACAACCCAAAAAAAAAAAACAACGACAATAGTTTTTGATGCATCCAGTTGTATCCTCAGGATGTTCCAGATGTTTCTAAGTAACTCTGTAGTTTACGGACTGTAGTTTTGTCCAGTGAGCAAAGATCAAAATCAAATGTTGTGTTTGTGATATGAAAGTGTCCAGTCTCTTCTATGAGGTTCACAATCTGAGAAAGTAAAGAACATATGGTCAATAAGCAATAGACACTGGACAGTTTGGAGACAATAAGGCAAAAAGAGTTGGAGGGGCCTAAATGTGGAACCAAGTGTTAAAAACTGGTATTTACAGTAGATAAGTCCTACATCACCAACTGCACCAAACTATCATTGCCAATTTTTTTAGTCAGACGCATATATTAAACCTTCAAAAAGTTCTCAGAGAATAGATCACTTATTATTTTTTTTGCAAATTCTTTACTGTGATTGATTACATAATTTCACAGTATTGTGGGATAGTGATGCTTAGTTAAAGTCACAAACACATTCTAACTTTCATGGGGCAAATTGTCTATCGTGATCTAGAAAGTTTGAGTTCTATGAGCTTTGCCAATAGTTATTTCTTCCACATCAGGTGATCTGTACATTTCTTTCGTTTTGCATAGCATCAGCTGTTCCCTCATTCCCTCCCTCCCATCAGTTCCATTGAGTTGCTTAGCTCATTTTGTAGATCTCTTATTTTTATATCCTCTCATTATTCTATGTGGGTAGGTGAGTAAGGGGAGATAAAAATGTCAAGACCCCTTTAATAATTACTGAGTCAATGTAAATGATGATTTAGTAGGTATAAGAAAACACTGGGAAAAAATAACGAAATTCTATTTTAAGAGAAACAAATATATACAAATAATAATACCTTTTTCTTTCTGATTGTACCCGTGAGTATACAATTCAGAGACTACAGAGGAAAAATCGTGACTGTTCAGGGTGCAGAGTTCAGTTCTACACTGTGAATCCTTGACTCATTTTTTCCTCATGAAATTGCTCATCTTCCACCAAACACATGCCATGCCACCTTTCAACATACCTAAATATTTCACTTTTTCACTTAAACATATTCACTCTTACCTTATTTTGTGTGTTGACTGTTTTGGGGGTGGTAGATTCTCACACAACAAAGGGCAGGCAACCACTTAGCAGCTCAGACCATTTTTTTAAACAAACGTGGCAACAATGTGGAACTGACAGCTTTCTCCACATCAAGTGAGTTAAGTCACATATGCACAATTTAAATGTTTTTTTTTTGTTTTGAAAGTTCTTTTTATGTGTAATTTTTTTTGTTTTTTACTTTACTGTGCTTGGTTAAAACTACATGTAATAAATCTGTGAATAAAGTGGGCCTACTGAATTAACGTTTTTGAAAGCATAGAAATCCCAAAAGAAAAATACAAAAACCATCTACAGTCCACCTAAAGATCCCAAGAACTGTTTGGAAGGGTTCTAGGCTTTTGGGTGCTGGCAGTATTTTGTTGTTCATTTTGGGTGCTGATTACATGTTCACTTTGTAAAAATTCATCCAGCCACATGTTATACTAATCAGAAATGAAAGAGAACATATATTTATTATTTTTAGTTGTGCTCAGTTATTGCCCTGGGTATTTGGGGAGAGATAAGAAAAACAAAGTGTGACACTTTATTTCTTACTGTATTGACTCCAAACTACAGAAGTGGCATGTTGGCAGTGGTGATTAGAGGTGCCTTATTGCAGGAGAACATGCCTGAAATTTTCAGTGTTAAGAGGAGGATGTGGCTATTGGTTTGAGAGTCTTTTACTATGTAAACTATCATTCTGCTTCCCAGAAGTAGATGTTGCGACTGGGCAGCAATTTTAGAGGGAGTACTGTGTATAGAAAAGGGATAGGGACCAATTTTAGTGAGCATTGTGAGAGGGGAAGGACAGGGCAAGAAAACAGTGTCACTACAGATAGTAGGCAAACTTCCGCTTTTTTTCTTTACCTCTGTTTCCCTTTTCTACCACTCACTTCTGATTCCCTGTAGTTCAGCTACATTAAATATTAACTGTAACTATCTAGTTTATGATTTATTCAATGAAGTTTTAGGTTACCTAACGTCAGGTTGAAAAATTGCAGAGCTGAAATTTTAATCTTCCTCTTTTTACAATTAGTTTTTCTCAAAACATGTGTTAAGTTATTCTGGGTGTCGATAGCTATAAATAGAAAATATGATCCTAATTCTTAACTTCTACAGAAGATTAAATACAAATTAAGCCTCAGTCCAACTAACTGTACAATTCCAGATTGAGCTGTTATTGCTTTATCCAATTTTTAAACTATTTTTGAGATATAACTATAGCTTTAATAGTAAAACAAGTTACTCCAATTGTAGAATCATGACAATGCAAACTATCTTAATATGCACTAATTCCTTTAAAAAAGTTTTTTATTATCTTTTAGTTGTACAAAGGAGGTGCCATTTAATAAAGCAGTTAATGAATACAATAAACCTTGACCTTGTCACTCCCTTTAACCTTTTTATCCCCCTTTGATTCACCCTTTCCCTTACTGTCCTCAATTTTGTGGCAAATACAATGAATTACTGACTGCCTTCTCACCCTTCCTCCCTTAATTTTTCTATTCCACTCCCTTTGGTCCCACCCCAGTCTTGCATGCACCCATTTGTTGATACTTATAATTTTGTTGGGCTAGTCTTTCTAAAAAATTATACTATTTGAGTCTCCACTTGCATTCCCCAATCTGTTTACTTATTCTACCTACTACAAGTGAGGGAAACCATGCAACCTCTGTGTCTCTGGGTCTGCTTACTTCTCTTACTGTAATTTTTTGCAAGTCTTTCCATTTTCTTACAAATGGTACAATATCATTGCTTCTAATGGATGAGTAAAATTCCATTGTGTACATGTACCACAGATCCATTTATCCACTGAGGAGCATCTGGGCTGATTCCAGATATGATATTCCAGACAAGATATGATTCCATATCTTGTCTATGATGAATACTGCTGAAATGAACATGATTGTATTGGTGGCTTTATTGTAACCTTGTTTGCATTCTATGGGATAAATGCCCAGGAATCAATTTTCTGGGCTATAGGGTAGTTCTAACTTTAGATTTTTGAGGAACTTCCATAATGCTTTCCAGAGTAGTTGAACAAACTTACATTCCTACTAACAGTGTATTAGCGTTCCCTGTTAGCCACATCCTTGCCAGCATTTGCTGTTTGTTTTTTTGATAGTGGCTATTCTAACTGGGGTAAGGTGGAATCTCAATGTTGTTTTGATTAGAATTTCCTTTATGGCTAGAGATGGCATTTCTTCATATGTCTATTGGCCATTTTTACTTCTTCCTTAGGAAATCTTTCTTTAAGTCATTTGCTCATTTATTAATATACTTGTTTCTGTGAAGGTTTCATTTTTGAGGATTTTTTTAGCTCTAAGTATATTCTGGATTATTAGACCCTTGTCTGATATATAGGTGGTATAAATCTCCCATTCTATGGGGTATTTGCCCCTTTTTCTTTACCAACAGAAACCTGATTTCCAGAGAATGGCCACATACCCAATTCAAATACTTGCTTCTCAGATACATTTGCAGCACTATACAGATACTATGTTGCTTGTCAGAAGTCACTGGGATTGTAGGAAATTTGTTCAAAAGGTTTAACAATGACTACATGTCTTTTGAACATGGTCTGCTTTTCCTTCTGTCTGTAATGAATGTAATGCTTGGATGATTGGTAGGTATCTTACCTTCAAGGCAGTGAGTGAAACATACAAAAGATAACTGAGTAGAAATAAGAGTCTGTGTCCTCAATGGTTGCTTTAAGTTATAAAACTGACTGAGGGTGCCTTATCATCAGACCTACTGCTGTATGTTTAAAAGGAAGGAGGAGGCAACCTTCCTTGCTTCAACTGCTGGATTCTGGGTTCTTTTATATCTTTCAAGAGATTACTAGAAGAGATTTGATCAATTACAGTTAAAACTATGTAATTCATCTACAATCATCATCATTTATCAAACACTAAAAGACCTAAAATGAATACTAATTTGCTTTAGTAAATTGTTTGAGAATTTTGAATAAGCCATCACATACATCTACATCCACTGAGACACAAATACACATATACAAACCTTTCATGGCAGTCATAAATTTAATATATTTAATATATGTTATATAATATATTAATACATTATATGTTTAATATTGAGATTTCTGCTATTTTATGTAGAAAAAGTATAGGCTTGGTGCAAATTCCAAGATGGTAACCAATAGCATCCTAAGAGCTGCTTTATTTTCAAATTTAAGCAATGGAGACAGATACCAAATAGATCAGAAACTAGTCAGCTGCTAGTAGGTACATGACAAAGCAGTCAGAATAAGGACTCCAGAATTTGCATATCAAATCCTGACTTTGTTCTCTGTCTGAACAATATTGGAGCATCATAGCATCTGGGCCTCAATCTCCTCATCTGTAAAATGAGGATAATGCTACATGGTCTACTTATCACACAAGGACGTCAGAAAACCAAATAAGATATGGCAAATAAATATTGCTTACAAACTACAGATTATCCAACCAGATTCTTTTTCCTCCAGCTTTTAATGATGTTAGTTATTTCATAACACTAAAACAAATGAAGCAAGAGAAATGTAAAAACTGAAACTCTAAAAAGGCTTACCTGAAAAAAAGTTTTAAAATAATTATGACAAAAGCATTGAGGAGCAAGGCAAGCTGGCAGGAGAAGAATGAAGGAAGACAAACAGCTGAAATAATGGGCTAAAACTGCCATGTGGGGATAACAGAAGCAGAGGCCCTACATTTTTCCTTTAAAATAACAGGGAATATAACCTTTTTGGAAAATAGCTTTCTCTGACTTAATATCATTGCCTCTCACTCATTACTTAATAAATAGAAAACCTGGCAACAGAAACTGCTTCTAGCAAAAAGGAAAAAGAAAAAGAAAAGAAAGAAAAAGCCACTTAATTTTAAAGCAAATAAACACTTCTGCCACTAGGAAATTGAGTTGGTCATCTCAGGTTCCACCTTAAGGGTTTTGAGGGTTCATAAGCCAGCAACCCACATCACCAGCAGACCCCTCCCTGCTTACAGCCACACACACACACACACACACACACACACACACACACACATACAAATATAGAGAAGATCTATAATTTCATAAATCGGTTGAAATGAGCCTTGCATTTTTATAGAAGTCTATAATACTGCATCAAGGACGCAGATACTGACTTAAAGGAATACTAGTGGCGGCATTTGGGGACTTGGGGACTATTTGCCGAAGGGAACAACAGCCATGGTTTGAGTTATTAGAGCATGTACCATGTCCTCAATTAAGTAAAGGCCCCATAAAGAAAAATAATTGCACATTTCTTTCCAGGAATCCTGATAGCTTGAGAATCAGAAACACATTACATGCTTCATTCCAAAGACACAGGCCACAAAGCCTAAAAACACCTGCTAATCCTCTTCCGACTGCACTTGGCCTTTTTAAAGGAAGACCCTCTCTGCTGATGTAGTGTGGCTTTACTTTGGAGTCATAATGCTGCATCATGGTGCAATCATAATGCCCTGTGAAATAATAATAGAAGTCTGAACCACTACAGGGAAGAAAAGCATGCAAAGACACAGGATACACACAGGTAATGGGAAAAGTAGTGTGTGTACACTGTTTAACTCATTCTTCATATGATGGTTGCTGTGAAAACATTTGCGATGGATTATTTCCTGCCACATCAACCTTTTAGGGGGTGCCACATAGGCGGCTGTTTTGTTTTGTTTTTCTTTTAACAGAGTAAGCTGTGCTTGTTAAATCTGTGGCTCACTCTGGCAAGCTTTGTTTCTCATGATACAAAAAGTTAAAGGCATTATTTTTAGTCCGATCATATTTTAAAATACCAGCAGAGTTCTTTCCAGAGAAGTCATGAACAAGTGTGGCTTTGACTGCTTCCACCTAGAGTAGAATAGGTCTGGAGCACTTATGTGTTTTGCTTGTGGATGAGGAAACCCTGCTATCTCAGGAAATTGTATGCTTCTCTGAGTTAGGAGGCAGGCCATCAGACTCCAGTGTACAGAAATGCTATGGCATGACAGGTAATTTCCCAGGATGAAGGAAATCATTTTGAGCAGAACTCTTCTCCAGAAGGGTTCTCTGTGTTGTCAGGGGGAATACTTCAGGATACCATGCATTTCTCAATCCCTGAAGATAATTCTTAAAAAGAATAATGGCAAGAATCACCAGTGACAAATTGTCCTCTATGAAAGCCTTTGTTTTTCACAGATATTTTTTTTCTTCCAGAGTAGGATACAAATCCAGGTGATAGATGACTTTCTGGAGAAGTTAGAAATGCTCAAATCTGCTTTGCAAATCAATATGGATCATGCGGTTTAAAAAGAGAAATCAAATTATTAATCAGTTCTAGAAACTTACTTTTCCTGCTTTGTTCCAATCTATTTTTACCCTATTGAAAAATGACTTAGGAACATAAAGTCTCTCCTAATCCAATGCTTTTTTTGCTCATTAGATACTGAGAGCTCAGACAGCAATCCCCTCAGAGTAAAAGAGCTCTATTAACCAGTTTGTGTGAGCCAAATAAATTGGTCAAACCAAATTTTGGCATAGAGATGTATTTAACAGGAAGAGGCCAAGGATGTCATCCTGGACCCATCAGAAATTTGGCTTCAGGTGTTTGATCTTGTTGGGGAGAATGCATGTAGACTTTGTGGAATGCATTTCATGAGATGAGCAGCCCTCTAGGTGGAGAATAACATTAGTCCTCAATAGTACAATGTTTTACAATAGGAATTAATTAAGCAGTAAACCGTGACAGGACATGCATCATGGTATCATAATCACAAGCCTCAGCTGCATTATAAGGCAAAAGGCCAAAGACTCAGAGCTTTCAACCGGCCTGGGAATGCAATTAGGGTGAAATGCTTTGTGCCCTGGAGTGCCTTTATGCCAGGTTAAAAATTCATAGATATTACTCTCTCCCTCTAGAATACTAAAATAATCCACTTGGATGGAATTCTGAAGTAAGCACCTCCTCTCACAGTGTTTTTTCCCAAGGTCAAAACAAAGGACAACATTAAATTAGAAATACCAATGACATCCCAAGGTAAGACCCTACCCAGTGGCCTACTATCCTTGAATAGCTGACTGTGCTTTCTCTGTAATAGTATCACAATCCTGCCCAAGTACCTGCCTCACTCGGATGAGACCGCAACTGAGGCCTAGATTGGGCATTAATGGCTACATTGGAGAACTGCTCTACAGTGGGAAAATTCTGAATCTCTACTGAACATGTACAGATTATTTTTTGGTCAATATTATTTAACCAATACAGTAAAACAATAATTTCCAAAGCATTTGTATTGTATTAGGAATTATAAGTAACCTACAGGTGATTTAAAGAATAGCAGGCTATTTATAGGTTATATGCCAGTGGTATGCCATTTTATTATAAGGAAGTTGAGCATCCTGGGATTTGGTATCCACAGGGAACCACTGCCCTGCTGGTACTGAGGGATAACTAAACCTGGAAAGATGACTTAGGTTGAGCTATTCAAATCTTACTCGCCTCGCCTACTCATACTCAGTTAAAAGAAAATGCAAGACCTGGAAAACATCCACAATTAAAAATCACTGGTCTTAGGCCTCCATGTAGCTGTGTTTATGTATGAACAAGCATGTAGTTAAAATAAAGTCTTGTACATTAAAAAAAAAAAAGAATCATAGGTCTGTAATCCATCTCTTTTTTTTTTTCAAAAGACTAGGAGGGATTAAAATCTTATCAGACCAGGAGGGCAATTTAACAAATTTGAGAGTATGCACTTATATACTGAAACAAAAATGTATACAGAATATAAATGTCAACTTTTAAAATAATTCACAGACAGCTGAGATAGATTAAGTACTAGTTTTAAGTCATTTGACAGGAGTAAAAAAAAAATTAAAATGAAACAATCTACAAACTACCCTGGAATTTGGAACACACAGTCTTCTTGGGTATTAAAGAAACATTTTATCAATAGCTACCATCCATGCAATAAAGTATGTACTACAACTGTAGAGAAACTAAAGTCCACTCTTATCTTCTCAAAACATCACATTGATATAACAGAAGTTGTCTCACTCTACTGGCATTACAGTCACGTTCATAATAATAGACTGTACAGTGTACAAGATAAGGGAAATGAAGAAAATATTTATTTTTCTTAGAATAGTATTGGCAAAAGGTTACTAAACTGAATCACAAATGTTTACAACACTTGACTCGAATCCTTATCACTGATTTCCCATGAAACCAGAAGGCCAGTCCCAAAGGTTTGTGCATTACAGTATCACCTCCCAGAGTACAGAAATGAGGGAGGGAGAGACTCACCAGAGCTTCAAAGTGGACTTCTGGATGGCCTCAGAAATGAGAATCCTCTCCCAGTATGAGCCCACTCTGATTGGGTGTCCTCCAAGTTTCACCACACTCCCCCAGGATAGACTAGGCCTGGAGGTTTCCTGAAAAAGTTGTGCTTTTTAGCATTTCTCACCTGTTGCAGAATGTGTCTTTCCCTCAGTGTCATTAACCTTCTGTGAAGCTCTACCAACTCATCTAGGTACGCCTGAAAGACAAGAGTATCCACAAAAGAAGTGCTTTAAGAAGTAGTTAATAAGTACAATCAGCAGCTGGTGGGTCATGATTCTGTTAATCCCCAAACTGTGTGGATTCAGTGTCCACAGACCCTTGCTAACCTAGTCTATGGGCTCAACCTTAACCTTTACCTTAGAGCAAACCAGCTTGAAAATGAGGAAGAGAAGAAATTCTCTCTGATTTGCTCTCAACAAAATTCAAGCGAGTATACCTACCTTCCCCCAACAAGACCTCCTCAAGGCATATGGGAAAATTCAGTGAACACATTATCATAGGTTTACTTTGATTTTTTAATTTATATTTTTTAATTCTCAGAAGGCCTTTGACAAAGAAAAGAGCCTAAGTTTGAACATGAAAGTATCAATGCACATTTCTAATTATGTTAAGAAAATTCTTTTTTTTTTTTTTTGTCGGTCAAAGGACTTGAACTCTGCGTTTGGGTGCTGTCCTTGCACTCTTCAGCTCAAGGAGAGCACTCTACCGCTTGAGCCACAGCACCACTTCCAGTTTTCTAGTGGTTTATTGGAGATTAGAGTCTCACAGACTTTCTTGCCTGTGTTGGCTTTGAATCGTGATCCTCAATCTCAGCCTCCTGAGTAGCTAGGATTACAGGCATGAGCCACCAGCACCCGGCTTAGGAAAAATTCTTAATGAAAGGGAAAAAAAAACCTTCCACATCATACCAAACACTGCTAGTAAACAAAGCTAGCAAGTAACCAAAGAATACAATAATATCTTATAAAAACATACCAGTTGCCAGTGGCTCAAACTTGACCAAGGTTTGAAGCCAGCCCAGGCAGAGCAGTTAAAAAGATTCCAATAAACAGCAAAAAAAAGGGCTGGGCTAGAAGCATGACTCAAGTGTTAGAGCACCAGCCAAGCAAGCCGTGAACCAAATGTGAGGTTCTAAATTTAAACCCTGGTACCGTGTGGAGGGGCTTAACAACGGGGGTGGGGGTGGGGGATGGAGAGTACAAAGAAAAGACAGACAACTTTGCAAATTAGCATCTGATTTAAAGAACACCACTGTCAGGGCAGAGAGGCATCTCTCCCTCTATGTGCTCAGATGAGTGAGGTCTTGTTAGCATAATTAGGTGGGTGCTTCCAGGATTATTTTAAATAAGGCAAAGGGAAGATTCTTGAAGCATTGACGAGGTCTGTCTTGCTCTTGCAGGCCCTGCCCCTATCAGGTGGCTGATGTCCTACAGATACTGCCCTGGGATTTAGATGGTTTGCTCACTTCCACCTGTGATTGCTTAACCCACTAGTTTGACCACAACCTTTGTCATACTCCCACAACTGGATATGACTGAAACCTTTGGCAATGTAGATGCCATGGGAAATGGTAGCAGAAGGCCAGCCTCATATAAAAGCAAGACATGGAAAATGAACTGCAAGGGGCAGGGATGAATGAAGTGTTGTCACTGGGCATCTCGTGCCCTTCCAATGAAGATGGAAAGAGAGCCAATATGGATAATACAGAAAAACAAGGCAAGACTCCTCAGTGCTGCAGCACTCACAGGAATAAAATGGAAACTTACCTTGTCACACTCGCCATTCTTTATTTGCTTATCTGATTTGCTTTGCTTTATTGGGCTTTTCACTTCAAGGATCTAGGGATCAAAGAAAACACTGTGTTAAATTTTATTTCAAGAACCTGCTAGCTTGCCACCCACATAACCAAAGACACTCACTGAATGAAATGTTGGATAACAAATCTGTTTTCTGCCTAGCATTTCTATACCCTTTCTTCTCTTATAATCTTATTTTTAATGGGAAAATGGACTGTTTATTTATGAAATGCTGAGCCAGAAAAGCAGCACCTTAAAAAATAGTTGACAATAAGGAAGTGCATCTCAGCTTCCAAGGCTGCTTTTCATTGGTGAAAACTCTCTATTCATATGTATGGCAGCTGTTCTTCTGAGATGATAGTCCTTGTTGGAAAAAATGTTTTCCTGTTCATTCTGCCATTTTGGCATAACTACCTGTGCTCAGTGAGCTACAGATGATTTTTTAAAAAATCAACAACAACAACAAACAAGTCCCTAAATGCCTTCTGTAATACCTGTCTTTTACATTCTGAAGTTATTCGTATCTACTGAGGTGATAAAACTTTGGGACTGAAGGTGGCCATTCGTTACCTGGATGCTCCAATCTGAGATTATCTAACTCCAGAAAGAGAAACAAGATTGTCTTCTGACAATCACTTTCTGAAGAAAAAGGTCATCATTTTAATGTGATATAATTATGCAAAGTAATACTCCAAGTGACTTTCCTTTTTACTGAGCCAATTGCAATTTAACTTATGAACAGTAGTTCTGTATACCACTCAGAAGATTTGGTAGGGAGTTATGTTTCTGATTAATAAGGATAAAATTATGACTTATTAAACATGATATTCCAAATCAAGACTTCTGAGGGAAATACTCTAAAATGGTCCTCAGATGAACCAAGAAAAGAACCAAGTGAATTTTTAAATTCATTTATGATGAATTTTTACAAATGTATATAAACACAAAGAGCAAAGCATTTTGCCTTTTTATAACCTCATTGCTGAGTCGTTATAATCAAAGACTGATATTAAGGAGATGACAAATAAAGAATTTACTTTAAGAAGTCTCGTATTTATCCTATTCTTCCATTCACTGTTCCCTGCCCTAATTCAATCACAGCTTTGTTCAGTCTACCTCATTTCATAACACACAGAAAATTTTAAGACTGTACCCCCTTTTAATTTGAAATTGTAGATCATAGGGTTGGGTCCCTAGCCCTATCACTTAACATTTTTGGGCCTCAATAGATGACAATGAGAGACATGAACAAGATAATGCCCAGATTCCCATTTAGCTTTACAATGTTATACTAGTAGTTATGTACTTTACTTGTTAGGATAGAATCAGGACATTCTGGAAATACCCCTAAATGGAAATATTTCTCTTCGAATTGAGAACAATGTGTGATGGATAAAGAAGTATGCTTTCAATAGTCTTTCCAGAGATTCACACTCATTTCTTTAATATTAAGATAACTAGTTTGACTGAGCTAGCTTAACATACAATTTTCTGGGCCACACAAGGAAATTATTGAGCAGCAGAGACAAGACAATCATTCTTAATATGCTCCACTGTAAAGGAAACCAACTAGTCCTACATGCAGTATTTCCCCTCCTCTATTGTTGTTTTCCCCCTCAAGGGGAAAATCAGTGCTCAGAGACATAGGAGTAAGTAGGTCAGTAGATGGCACTCCTGGCCAACTCAGACACTGGGCTGGGTGCTGTGGAGACAATCTGCTGAGATTTCAGGCAGGAGTAAAAACACAGTTCCTGTCTGCCTGGTGTATTAGAGAACTGAATTTTGTTCCCATCCCATCCAGCCCCTCCTATAGCCCCATCCCCCACTCTCATTTGTGCTCTGGTTATCTGAGTGTCTGGAACTGCTATGTTTGCAATGGAACTCTGCAAACTAGGTTTAGAGAGTCCTGTAACCTTCCCTTCAAAGCAGAAAATAGAACGTTTGGGCGCGTAAGTCCCACCCCACACATTCCATAAGTGCTACAGCACAGAAGGGCAAAACACATTGAAATCCGAGTTTCTTTCTTCTGAGGCTCTGGTGGCCGGAACAAAAGCTCCGGGTGTCAGTGACCCGCCTCCAGTTACTGAGTGGCTGCCCAGACGGGGCTCAGTTAATCTTCCTTCTTTGATCTCTCCCTGCTCCAAAATAAACAGCTTTGTCAAAACCTCATTCTGAGAGAGCTGAGCCATGTTGAAGACAATTGTTTTATTTATGATCATTTCTTATCTTTAGGGAAACGACTCCAGAATATAAAAGTATAACACCTTGTCTTCCACAGGCTTATTTCAAACCAGTTTAACTGGATAGACTCTTTTGAATTTAATTCAACATGCCCGGCAGGCTGATAGGTGATTTATAATATTCTGAATATTAACTTGAGTCCAATGGAACACTTCCTTCCTTCAAATCCATTCACTCTCTCCCTGCCATACTCCTGGCTAAGAAAGACCTGGTTGTTTTGTTTCAAATTCACACAAACAGGATTTAAGGTTTTTTTAAAAAAAAGTCATCTCTGGTTAAACTGGTAAAATACTCTTCATTATTCCCCATTAAGCTGTATTGAGGGAAATAGAGCCACCCAGACTGAGATAAACCACTGATAGATTTGGCAATCTCTGAAAATGGAGTAATTATGTTTAGTAGCACTTGTCCTTAATCAGAAGATACAGCTTGAGAATCACATTTTCAAGGTTATTATTTTTCTGTATTCTTTTGTGAGGAATGAATCTCAATTATTCAGCAGATGAACTTTCTGATACCTTTTTTGAGTAACAATACTCAGGCTAATTACTTGCTTTCTTGGTATGTGGCCCTCTGTTCATTTTTTTTTCCAGTACTTAGACAATATTTGACTCAATTAATACTTTACCTTTTCCTAAGTCCATGGAAGACTTATAAGAAGGTAAAAGGCAGTTCAAGTGTGCCCCATGTTTAACTAAATCTTGCACGATCATTTTGTGGACAGAGAAATAGTTGTTATGGTTTATAGGTGGACTGTTTCCCAAAGGTTCATGTGCTGAAGTCTGAGTTCTTAATGAAACACTGTTCAGAGGTGAGGTTTCCAAGAAGTGATTGGATTATAAGGGCTCTGACTTCATTGATGTATTAATATACTGATGGGTTTTAATTTGCTGGGAAATTGGGAGGTGATAGAAAGTGAGCTAGTGTGACCTAGTTGAAGCTACTTTGGGAGCTATATCTTGTCCCAATCCCTTCTCTCTGTTTTCATATCCACTTGGAATGAGCCACACTTTGTTCTACCACATGGTCCCCACCATGATGTTCTTCCCACCTCTGGTCCAGAAAGAAGAGAGTCAAGTGACAAGAGGTATAGCAGAAACTATTTCCTCCTTTAAGTTTTTCCTAGAGTATTTGGTCAGCAATGGAACGTGAACTAACACAATAGGCAAGAAGCACTGGAGAAAGAAACTAGGTCTTCCCATGTCATAATTAGGGCCATCTCAGTATGTTGCTATCCACTTTCTTGGATGTGAAATTTCAGACATGCTCTGTACCACCACGAGTACTCCTCCCACTGCCACTCAAATATAATACTACAAATGTATTTCTGAGTTAAATATAAATGACTTTTAGGTCTTTAAGAAAATCGTACACTCCACAGCATAGAGAATATACTTGTATTTATTACTTTTAATGTTCCTGAACATTGATTTAAAGAAATAGCATCATACTGATGCAACACTGTGAGTGCATATGGACTTTATTATTACGCCTACAGGTGCATGAAAGAAGTGACATGTAATCAAGTACTACTGGTAGATTGATATGTGATATGTAAGTAGTACTTACACATTTGTTGAATAAGCATGCCAAAAAAATAATTGGTATGCTATTTAATCAAATAAAGTAATTACTTCCTTCCTTCTTTTCTCTTTTCCTTTCTTCCTTCCCATCTTTCCTCCCTCCCTCTCCCGCTTCCAAAGAGGTACCATGACTTAAACTTGGGACCTTATGCTCTGACTGGGCTTTTTTCTCCTAGCTGGTGCTCTACCACTTGTACCATGTTTCCATTTTGGCATTTTTGCTGGTTAACTGGAGATGGAATCTTACAGACTTTTCTGCCTGGGCTGGCTTCAAACCTCTAATCATCAGGTCTCAGGGTTCTGAGTAGCTAGGATTACAGGCATGAACCATGAATACCTGGCTAGGTAATTTTTTACCTTCTCCAGATGGACAACCTGGATCTTTTAGTTTAGTTTTGGTAGGCAGATTAAAAAAGTACCTTTCCTACTTAACAATGGAGGATTTAAGTTGCAAGCCAACATTGTAACTAAGAAATATATGATTTTAAGATCTCTGCTTGTTTAAATAGGGATACAGGTGGACCCATTGCAACAATGAGATGTACAAGACGTTATGTCGGAAAAACAAACTTTACAACTTTGGCTGGGAGAGGGGGGGGGGGGGGGGGGGGGGGGGGGGGGAAGAGATGGAAAGGGGAAACAAAGGAGGAGGCTACAATGCTTGATAAGAAATATTCTCATTACCTTGCCCATGTAAGTGTAACCCCTTTGTACAGTATTTTCACAATAAAATTTTTTTAATAAATAAAAAATAAATAAACATATCTGCTTATACTTTACACAAAATGTGAAAAAGATGTTTTCAGCTTGTAAAATAGCTTTTTCCAACTAAAGCCAAGATCACAAATTCAAGGACAAGGTATTTTAAAATCGTAAAACACTTAGGAAACAGACCAATTTTATAAAAACTATGTTTTTTAAATTCTCAGGTAAACAGTCATATGGTAACCTGAATTAAACAATTATGGTAGAGGTCACAGGAAATCTGATTAAACAAAAGGGTAAGCATAACTTGCAATAATGAATATCAATTTAACACACAATGAGATTTTACAGTATTCAGGATACTTGAAAACCATTTATTTTAGTAATAGAAATAATTCCAATCTTATCCATATGTTTAACAAAAGCTCTTCATAGCTTTCAAAGTTCTATTCAGACTTTATACAAATAACTATATTCTGAGTTGATTATCAATGAGAGTGGACACTATTTTCTGTTTTATTAACTATTCCTTATAATCCCACTGATGATCCTTTTTTTCTTGGATGAGAAAACTGAGGTTGGGTATCTAATAATAAACATATACGGAGGTGTCATGTACTGCCTCATAGTATCTACATATATTGTTATCCTCCCAATAACTTGCAAGGTAAATGTTAATATCATTTACAGATGAAGAAACAGATACAGAATAAGTTAGTTTTCCATTAGCAAAACACCAGTAATAAAGCAAAGAGCCAAAAAGAAGTTTTTTTTTGGTGGGTTGTGAGGCTTGAACTCAGGGCCCAGGCAATGTCCCTAAGGTTCTTTTACTCAAGGGTAGCACTCTACCACTTTAAGCCACAGGGCCACTTCCAGTTTTCTGGTAGTTAATTGAAGATAATTCGACTTTTCTACCTGAGTTGGTTTTGAACCATGATCCTCAGATCTCAGCCTCTTGAGTAGCTAGGATCACAGGTGTGAGCCACCAATGCCTGGGCAAGAGCCAGCTTTTAAACTAACTCACCAGTCATATTGCTTCTAATTAGGTCACTCATTTACTGCTGGGGGATAGAACACACAGCAATCAGGAGTGAATGGACAGCATTTCCATCCCAATCCCTTCCTGCACTTAATTCACCATTTGATGGAGCATACTTATTTTTCTGGACAGCAGAAGTTCTTCTACTTTATGTGTTTATTCTTTAAGGTTTTGGATTCCCATTTATTTAGTATTGAGAGGGACTGTTTTAAATTGGGAGGTAAAAAGTTTGTATGCTGTGTGACAGTGGAATATACCCAGTTCTGCAGAGTCTTGAGAAGTGCAAACTGCACAATTTACCTGGTTGTTGTTGGTTTTTAATAATGGTGGTGGAGGTTCATGATGGAGGGGTGAAGAGGCAGAACTGCTCTCACTGTCACTGCCATCACTCAAGCTAACTCTGAAGAGAAACAGAGAAAAGTCATAAGCATCACTACAAACAAGAGACTTGAAATATCCATTGGATATCCCCCCAAAAAGCAAGGAATCCAAACAACAGTCATTGAAAAGTTGGCTGTAACTCACAATCACTAACATATATTGGTTTCTTTAATATATTTTTTATTGTAAAGATACTGTACAGAGGGGTTACAGTTACAAGAGTAAGGTAATGAGTACATTTCTTATCGACCATTGTTACCTCCTCCTTTGTTTTTCCCCTACCATCCCTTCCCTCCCACCTCCCCAACTCCTCCCCGCCCCAATTTGTAAAGTTCATTTTCAACATAGTGTCTTGTACATCCCATTGTTACAATGGGGCAACCTATACTGTCATTTCAGCATTTTGTTATTTCCCTTTCACTCCCCAAATTAGAAAAATGTATATACAAGATGCAGGACACCAGAATTTATATTTGGATCCATGTTTAGTGCTATACCTGCTGTTTCTCTTTTAGTGATTTCCAGCTGGCCAGCAATACACTGTGACCTAGTCACTCACCCAAACTCGCAAAAGTAAAAACAGAGGCACCAGGATTCAAACCCAAGATGTATTAAGCCCAACATTCCAGAACTTCAACTAATCATATCTACTGTGTCATGATTCAAAGCCATCTCTAGTTCTGAACACTGGTATACTGTAACTTCATTGGGAATATATTCCAGCAGTGCAAAAAAAAAAAAAAACAGTATGTTCAGGATAATTGTGCTTAACTTTACAACTTGGGGTGGGGGAGGAGGGAGATGTAGGGGAGGTAGGCAAGTGGAGAGGGAAGGTAGGGGAAAACAAAGGAGGGGGTAACAATGCTCTGTAGGAAATGGACTCTTTACCTTACTCATGTAACTGTAACCCTTCTGTACAATATCTTTACAATAAGAGACATTTTAAAAATAAAGGAAAACCAGTGAGAGAGAAAAAAAACAATAAAAATACCACCTCCTCCTCTACATATTTTTTCCTCTGCAGAATGAAGTCATATGTTCTTTTAACCAAAGAGGAGATGTTGCTTTTTTCCACTCTGCCTGATGTATACCACCCCTTTCCTGTTTGCTCCTTCTTGCTGGTTATACAGTAGCCTAATATAATATTCTTCTCAGAGAAAGAAAATGCTTTAGAAATCCGAGTCTAGGTTTCCTTTCACTATGAATAGGCAATCATATGCTAGCTCTATTATGTATTCAGATAGATAAGATACAAGATAGGAAAGGAAAAGGCTATACTATGACATCCTTTTAGCAAAAAAAAAATGGATGGAACTTGTTTTTCTTAACTAAATTACAGTAATGAAGTGTTCGGTTGAAGCGCTGCGTTCAGATGCTTCTTTACTGAAGTGGAAGGCTGAGTATTTAAACTGATTAAACAGTTGAAGCTTCACAAGTACGTGGAAGATCAAATGCTTCTGTGCTCACAGCATATGTCAGGAAGAGAAATGAAGAGTCCCCAACAATATGTCCACACTATACTCAAGATAAAACATGTATGACCTGACCCACACTGACTGACTTGGAAATGGCAGAGAGGAGACTAGACAACAGCTGATCATAGAATATCTACAGTTTTCTAAACAATAACGGGAAAATGTACCGCACACGCGCACGTGTGTGTGTGTGTGTGTGTGTGTGTGTGTGTGTGTGTTTCATCAACTAAATTGGAAAGCAGCCAGTGATCAACCTTTTGGTGATTTAAGAAAGTCCTTAACTCTATGTTGCAGTTCATTTTTAGATCTTTCTGCCCTACCAGTTGCTGTTTGTCAGATGCAGGCCTGGGCTATAGTCTTGTAAAAGGAATACACCCATAAGGTAGAGTCACCAAGGGATCTGAAAGGACTTAGACCTATGGAGGGCTTTCTCAGATGACACTGAGGAATTGTCATTGAAGAGAGCATGGAGTATGTCCAATTTGTGTTAAAAGTGCATTATTTTAAATATTCCAGGGCCATCTACACAGTAATGGATAATGGGGAAGATTTATTGTAATATGTTATAAATGTAATTGGATTTTAAGTTCAAGTAGATTCACATTTTTCTACTTAAAACACATTAAATTAAGCACGCCTATTTGTTTTGCTCATGATAAAGAAATGAAATCCTCAAGGCAATTTCAAGTTGACTATTAATTATAAGTGACATGAATTACCATCTTATAATGTGAAATTATGCCTCACAGCATTAAAGCTACTTAAGGAACCTAATTGTCAGCCCACTTAAAAGGAGCTTATTTGCTAGAAAACACACACAGGTGATCCTAGTTTAATTAGGTCACACACAGAATTCACTGGGGCCAATTATGTATTTCTAACGACAAACAGAAAACACATTTCTTCACATTCTGAGATGACCTGCAGCACCAGGTCTACACAAACTCTCCAAATGAATATGTCACATGGGATATATTTGCAGATAACAAGGACTTCTAATCTGGCTTCTTCTATAAAGGTTTTAGAGGGGGGAAAACCTTCCTGTTTTGATAAAAGGAAAGATAGTTTCCTGTAAAGGTAAGTGTTAAGCATGCGAAGACACCCCAATTTCACTTGAATAAGACTATTTATTGCCTTTGCTTCTGATGTGGCACATTTTTTTGTGATTGTACCAGATGTCAGAACCTCTCTCCAAGACATTTACCTGCGACTCCGACTTCCCCCTCTATTCACAGGTCTTTCCATTTCAGAGTCATTGTCATTATCCTCTGCCTCATCTGATTCCTCCTCATTGTCATCGGAATGCAGGTCTTTCATTATAGACCTTAAAGGACCTGCATAATGACAGTGAACCACAGAAAATCAAACATACTACTTCAAGCATACTTACATATTAGGCACAGGGGAATGCTTACCTGTACTGAATACTGATTGAGAATAATCCTTATCCTAATTATACATTTTTGCAATACAACTTGTTACAGTCTCTGGAATGTAGCCTCTATCTAAACACTATTGTTTTCATAATAATCAAAACACTACTGTTGTTTTCTTGTGCCAATATTAGGAGTTGAATTCAGGGAGAGGGCACTGTCCCTTAGCTACTTTGCTCAAGGTTGGCGCTTTACCACTTGAATCACAGCTTCATTTTTGGAATTTTGACTATTAATTTGAGATAAAGCTCTCACAGACTTTCCTGCCAGGGCTGGTTTCCTACCACGATCCTCAGATCTGGGCCTCCTGAGCCACAAGAATTACCCGCCCAGACACTATTGTTTTAATGAACCAATGTTCATTAAATTTTCCAGGAATTTTTTTCTGTGTACATTTCTTCCCTAAGAAAAATTACACCTAAAAAGAAACAGAAAGATCTATTAGTAAATTGGCTGTTTTGTTAAGTTAATCCATGTATTGAAAAGCTGAGATTAATAAATCACTGTGGCTCTAACTTGTTCTTGGCAATGCAGGCTTTGTGTGGTAGTTTTTGATCTATTAAGGTTTAGCTGTTCCTTTTATTTCAAGGTCAATTTCAGGTCAAGCAAGCATTTCAGTCAAGTTCAGATTATAAAGTATTTCAATTCCATGGTGTAATGTCCTATCTCTGATCTTCCTATTGATCTTGCACAGAAGGTCTTGTTGCAACAATTTTATGCAGCCAATTTTCATTTTACTTTTAAAGAAATTTCTGGCAGAATACCAGCATGAATTAACACAAATAAGGCCATGTAATAAATCAAATGCCCAGAAAACTCAAGATTATATCCAATATTACATGGAAGAAAAAAACTGAATTATAACTCTTTTTTCTAGAACAGAACAAAACCATAAAACACACATGCACACCCATTTTCATTAGTGTAGCTTCTTTTATTTTACTAATCTTAGATGTGATGAAAACAAGATAGGTATTTCAAGTTTTCAAGATGAATTGTAAAGGCAATCAATAAGGTGAGAGAGGCATTCTGGTTTAGCCAATTCTATGGTAGGAATATCTCAACTAACACTAACTCAGTTCTAAGGTAAACATCAACTGCCTGTAACCTCACATTTTATACAACACAAATTTCTCTGCTTTTGTAGTGAGCCTAAGCCTTTGGAAATATGGAACAAGAGCTCTGACTGAATAGTCAAAACTATCACTGTCTTTGTTTTTTTTCCTGGAAGCTTATCCTTAGTCCAAATATGCACAGCAATTTAATCCTTTTCAAGACACACAAGGACATTAGGAATTCAGCGTGGACCATGAAGAAAGGCAATGTTTAATAGAATGCTAAAAAATTAATTGTCCCTTGTAATACTTTTTCATGTAAAAAATTTTAAAAGCCTACATTTGAACATTTTTATATACACATGGAAAATATACTAAATATACCTATTACTAGTTTCCAGTTTACTAATCTTTATTCAAAGTATGGCTAACAATCAGAATATAGGATATTGATTTAAGAGTCAGTAAATTAACATTTTGCTTTAGAAGAGTCTATTAATCTTGAGATTAAAAAGAAATAAAATAAAGATGAAAGGTGTCCGAAGTGGAAGAGTGCAAACCTATTTCTTTATGTCAAAGCCTGTCAAGTCCAGGGTGTGCTGTTGTATCTGGGAACTCCCTGGAATAGGCTGTGTCTATAATCCTTTTGTCAAATGGGAATCTGATGGCAAGAACTAGTAAGGGGGGGAAATTTCTAAAGTCTGGCCCCATATATCAGAACAATGTTCACATGCATTCCTAGGGGAAATAAATACAACTGCATAAAAGCCAAGTTACCATTCAAATAATAAAACAGTGGAAGATAGGTCATAAATCAACTCATTAAGATACTTTATGAGAAAAATGTCTCATAGTTTGCCTTGGAGCTGTTGATACCTTGTTGCCTGGTCTGGGACGGTGTGAAGCTGGAGCTGGAACTGGAGCTGGAACTGGCAGGACTGGGTTGTTCCGACTTTAGAGAAGAAGAAAAAGGCATCATCAGTAAATTTATGGGGCATTACATATGGAAAACTGACTACACATTTCATTGTGTCAGAATAGCAACATGGGAGAGTCATGATGTCCTTTTTGTTTTAACCACTTTATTATTACTAGATGTAGAAATAAGTATGGAAACGCAAAAAATGTAAAGACAAAAGCCCAGATGATGCTGGATGAGGGAAGTACCTGGTTTTGGTTCACCCCTATTTATTGCTAGGCTCATCTTTCTCAGGGATACCTTGATTACTCTTTCTACAATATCTGATTGATTCCACTGGTTAAAACACAGTAGTAATGAGGCCAAGGTCATTAGTTCAATCACATTATGAGACAGTTAATTTCACTCTGGTCCAAGGCCATGACCCAGACATAACCCTATTCACCCACAGTTCACAAATGGAGGCCAATGTTCACCAGACCCAGCCAAGTCCCACAGTCAGAAGAAATGTTGCCGCTATTATTTTTTGGCTACTATTTTTTATTGTCATAAATTGAATTGTACAAAGTCAGAGGTTTCATTATGACATTTCCATACACTCATTTAATATAGTTTGATTATATTCTCCATTTTAAAATATCCTTTAATTCTGCAGCCTATGAATGGCAGAGAACAAATTCTACACACATTTTCCCACCCATCCCAACCTCTCTCCTTGCAAACATCCTGAAGACACAGAAGGGACATCACCTGTTTCCTTACTAGACATGCACAATATTATACTTCGATGTGTATTCTCTCTAGCTCAACTCTAAACTGCTAGCACTTCAAAAAATGTTTTCTTGTTAACCTTTTCATACCTGTAAACAGAAGGCATTCTGAATCTGTGATTACAGGCAGAACATTGGGCCAGCCCTCTGTTGTTTGCCATAGTGTTTTTGTTTGTTTGTGCAGCTACTGGAGCTTGAACTTAGGTCCTGGGTTCTGTTCCTTAGCTTTTGAACACAAGGGTAGTGCTATACCGTTTAGCCACAGCCTACTTCTGGCTTTTTGGCAGTTAATTGAAGATTAAAATGTCTCAGGGACTTTTCAGCCATGCACATGTACTTTGCACACTTCAGGAGAAATGTTACTTTTAAATAACTTAATAATGCTGATATATTTAGGTATAAGAGTGGACAATTTCTCTTGAACTCCCATTTTCAATGTGCTCATTGTCTCGACCACATACTCATGTTATTTGAGAAATATGTGACGGTAGAGGATACATGTTCTTTTTCCTTTGTTCAATGAGTAATAAAGCTGGAGCGTGAACAAGCAGTCAGTAGCTACGAAACGAGATCTGAGTTTCAGTTTATAACAGCAGTTTTTCACCACTGATTTTCACTTTTCCCTTCCCAGCAATGGACTCCTCCTCTCCGAGCAGTGCCAAGCTCCACGATTGGGACACAAGGAAGCACTTTCAAGCATTCCTAATGCACACTTCACATACTCAGGCTGGATGGGAAAACAGGTGTCAGCAATCTACCACTCATTCTCTAGGAAAAGAGCCAGACAGGATCTCTAATGAGAAGCAGGCGGCCCACCAACCCTTCACCATTGCAGGATTTACTTGGAAACTGTAATACAATGTCCTACACATTGCTGTTTGCAGCTCACAAAGCAGAGTTGGTTTACAAGTACAAATGCCTGTGTGAGGTACTCTTCATTTTTGTTGAGTGCCTCTTCCACGGTGGAGCCCCAGTGGTGAGTTACACAACTGAAAGGGCATTCAGTTGGCATTTATGTGCAGTGCCCAGCTGTAAAACAGTTCTCCCAGGGCCCAGAGAGCACTCCTTTTCCTCTCCAAGCTGCTCTTTTCAGCCTTGAAAAGTGTCTGCCTGCAAATGGTATTATTTTGATTGCTCTGGAAACCATTTGGGAGCCAAAAAAAAAAAAAGCTGTTTCCTTACAGTGAGTAAAGAGCTCTACTAATTCCACATGCTGCCTGACCAGCAGCACACGTTGTGCTGGACCTAAAGAAGCCACTTTGCCAGCATTCTAGACTAAGAGTGATATAAACTAGGCTAATAAGGGAGGATGGTGGCCGCCACTCCACCTACCCCTATTAAACCTGACCCTCTCAAGAATCAGGCTGATGTCAGCACTAGAGTCTTTTTAGCTTCTTACCCATAAACAAGGTTAAATAATCCCACAGTTGCTAATTATCAGAAAATGGACAAATAGAAAAGAAAAGAAAACAACCAAAGATAAGTTCTTTTTATTCAAGGTTTATGATGCCTGCACATCCTGAGTAGCTAGGATTACAGATGTGAGGCACCAGCACCCAGCAATTTTTTTTGTGGTGGGGGGGAGTCAGTTGTGAGGCTTGAACTCAGGGCCTGGATGCTGTCCCTGAGCTCCTTTGCTCAAAGCTAGTGCTCTACCACTTTGAGCCACAACTCTACTTCCAGTTTTTGAGTGATTAATTGGAGATATGAGTCTTACTGGGACTTTTCTGCCTGGGCTGGCTTCAAACTGCGATCCTCAGATCTGAGCCTCCTGAGTAGCTAGCATTACAGGGTTGAGGCACTGTGGACCAGCTACTTCTTTTATTATTATTTTTTAATGTAAAAGCAACAACAATATGCTGTTGGGAAAATTTTGTATTTATAAAAATATGAGTATACACCCAAGATAAATAAGATATGTGTGAATCTATCCCTAAAAGCAGCCTCTCTTCAAAGTGATTTTCAAGAAAGCACCAGTACCCACTATTATGAACCACATTCCTTCACATTATGGTGGATGGACATTAAACTCACTTAACTAGGACAGAACTGAACCTAATATTAATTCTTCAGATGCCCCTCTGCCACCAGAGAAGGCCAATATTGTCTTTAATTTCATCTAATATCTTCTACCTCATCTGATCTTAACAACTGTGGATCACTTCCATGAAATATGGGGATTTTTCATCTTAAGAAAATTGTACTTTCCCTCCAAAAACACAGAGCAAGAATGATTATAAAGATTACAGGCTATATGTTCTTAAAAAAGAAAAACTCCACAAACATCTTTATTAGACCTTCAGGATTAATAAGTCATAGTATCTTCCTTCCCTGATTTTATACCCTAAAAGACATTTAAAAATGTGTGTGTGTCTATGAGGGCAAGAATGGTGGTGTACATCCATAATCTCAGTTACTTGAGAGGTAGAGATTGGGAAGATAATGGTTCAAAGCCTGCCTAGAAGAAAAAGTGAGATTCATCTCAACTAATAAGCTGGTTATGGTGATGCACAGCTATATTCCCCTCCATGTAGGAGGCATTGATGGGAGGACTAAGTTAAAGGCTGGCTCTAGGAAAAATGAGTGAAATACCATCTAAAAAGTAACTAAATCAAAAGTGACCACAAACAAGGCCATACTAAAGCTACCAGCACAACTGGTAGCATTATTTATCATAGCTAAGATTTGGAACCAACCCAGATTCCCCTCTGTAGATGAATGGATCAAGAAAATGTGATATATATACATATAATATACACACATATATATTATATATATAGAGAGAGAGAGTGAAATTCTATGCTTCCATCAGAAAGAATGACACTGCCCCATTTGCTAGGAAATGGAAAGACTTGGAAAAAATCACATTAAATGAAGTAAGCCAGGCCCAAAGAAACATAGGCCCCATGGTTTCTCTCATTTGTAATAATTAACATATGTCCAGGACAGTCCTAGTAGTTGAGCAGAATAACTCAATAGCTATATACATATGACCATATAAGATGAGGCTAAATGAAATGAACCCCAAGACACGGACACAGAGGTTTTTCTTTGTTGTTGTTGTTTTTAATGTATTATGCGATGTCTTCTTTCTGTTGTATTTTCCCCCCTATAGTTTATCCCCTGTTGTCACTGTATTTGATTATAGTACCCTGGGTATTGTATATACATTTATCTGAATTTGGGAAGGGGAACAACAAAATGGTGAGACAAAGAACCAAGGGGGAACCAATGCAACAGCAATACCCACAAGACAATGTGTTGGAAATGATCTGTACAACTGAGGGGGGGTGTCTAGGGGGAAGGAAAGAGGGAGAAAAATGAGGGAGGGGTAACAAGTTTGACAAGAAGAGTACTCACTACCTTACTTATATAACTGTAATCCCTCTGTATATCACCTTGACAATAAATTTTTTTAAAGGGGGATGGAGACATGGTTCAAGCAGTACTTTCCTAGGAAGTATAAGGTCCCAAGTTCAAACTTCAGTATCTCAAAAAATAATGCATGTGAATCTATGAATGGTAAATCAAAAATTAAGAGTAAGTTTGATCAAGGTATATTGTATGCATATATGGAAATGTTATAATGAGATCCCCTTGTACAACTAAGTGATACAAATAAAAATGTGGAAAAAGCTTGGAAAAGGAAAAAAAGAGAATAAAGAAGTCCAATAAGATTCTGATTCTGATTATTTTGCTAATGACCTGGACATCATGAAATCTTTTTAAATGACTTTTCTATGTATATGACAAACATATGGGTTTAAAAACTCAATTCTGAAGCTTACTAGCTGTGATTTGGAAAGCTAACATAAATAAGCATTAGTTTCCTCATAGAGTGAAGGTACCAAATCTCATATAAAATGCTTACATTAAAGCAGTATAACAAAGTGAGAAAACACCTAAACAACTGTTATGATAGCAACTAATCAATATTAATCAATATTTGATTGTTACCATTATTTACAACGAGGTCTTTGCCTGGTTCAGGTGGTTTATTCTTGTATTCCTAGCTATTCAGGAGGCTGAGATCTGAGGATGGCAGTTCTAAATCAGCCCAGGCAGGAAAGTCTGTGAGACTCTGAGTTCTAATTAACCACCAAAAAGCTGGAAGTGAAGCTGTAGCTCAAGTAGTTGAACGGTAACTTTGAGCACAAAAGTTCAAGGCCAATACCTAGGCCCTAAGTTCAAGCCCTATACCAGGCGTGCGCACACACACACACACACACACACACACACACACACACACACGAAAGGTTTTAA